ACTGAGCAAATTCAGGGAGGCAGTGAAGGACAGGAAGGCCTGGCGCAATATGGTTCATGGGTCATGTAGAGTCGGACACGACTTAACGACTGAACAACAACAACAAAACCTGTTTATAAGATTGTAATCCAAAAATGGTTTCCACATTGACTTAAATTCTATATAAGATTTGTTTTGTATGGCATCAGATATGAAGATGTGATTATCAGATATGAAGATCTGATTATCTTAATCAGATAATTTTGATATTGAAGCATACTCACATAACTTAGCTTGCGATTCTTCTACAGAAGGAATTATTTGCAATTTCCAATGAGAAGTATAGAGAGTTCTAGCAGTTATCATGTACAAAGCCAATTCAGTATAATTTATGGGAATATATGGTCTAGTAATCTTTAATTAAAAATAGCAGGCTCAAAGAAAAAAATCCACTTTTAAAAATTTGTTTGATCGTGTTATAAATAATTTTGCAGAATTGTTGGGTTTTACAACATTGCCACCACATGTGAAAAAGTGATCCAACCTGATTATTACATTTTTAACAATTTTTAGAGAATAAATTGCCTATTTTGGCAATCAAAACAAGGGGTTATATACCATTGATATCAGAACATCTTATACCAATTTTCTTTGCATGTAATATTATCTGTAAATTTGATATTTTTCTTCCTCTGACATTATGATTGTTGCAGGTTGATCAGTCCATTTAGATTATTCATATATTTAATCATACAGTCTTTGACTTGTTCACTTTCTGAATTATACTTCACCGCTAATTTATAGATAAGCCCTAGTAAATTATTTGAATACTGTATAGCAAGTTTTTCAAATTCAGTCACATTTTCAAGTATTCTACCCTAGCATCCTTGATTATTTAGCCTCCTTTTTCTCATTTAAAAATACAACAAAACAAAAATAAATTATAGGACACAGGCTAAAGTATTTGAAATTCCAGAGAATAGCTGAGAACCTGGCCCACAGCGTTCTTTGATTTAAATAATAGGAATACTCTCCCTTTCAGATGGTCCCAACCCTCCGGAATATGTGGTCCAGTGGCTACCAGGTTATTGTGTCCTATGAAGACATACAGCAAGTGGTACAAGATAGTGAATTGTGGCCTGCAGTTCCATATTGGTGGGGAAATAAGGTCACAGCACGAAAGCTTATTGAGTATCTGGAAAAAAAGAAGCAAAATGGTCGTCCAGGTATTTGTTTCATCTGCACATATGGTCTATATCCTGAATCAGCTCCTGAATTCCCCTCCGTGAGCACTCCCACATATATCCACCAAAACTCAGCAACCAGCTTTGTGATGGTAGAGGGGGAAAAAACACACTTGACTCCTTACAGCCAAGCTATCTTCAGTTATGAGGTTTCAATGGAACCCCAGCGATCAGAATTTGGATTGCTAGGATGAAGAAGGAAATCATAGGTGTTCCTGTCCTCCCAATGATGTTACTCCAATTTCATGAGATTTCACTGCAGTCTTTATGTTTTGGGCTGAATGATCAACAAGATGACAGGAAAAGTGACAGGGATCCCTCAGCTCCACATTTCTCACTTTATTCAGAAAGGTGGTTCTCATCTTTTGAAGTCAGATGGATGGATGTAGAAATATTTTGCGTATAAAAAAGCTTTAATATGAGCAGAGCAACATTTGATATACTGAATAACAAGAATGTTGAAAACACTTGTTTTAATTTGGGTTGGTTTGGGGATATACAGGTAGACATTATTAGATGGAATTTGGGAGCCATCCAAAATGAGACGATGTAACAGATATATAAGTATTCTTTCTGCCCCTTAGTTGCAAGCCATCTGTGGCATGCTCATAATGCATTTAGTCTGCGAATAAAGCAGGTTTTCTACTTCCGATTAAAATAAATGGGTGAGACTATTTACTTATTTGGAAAGCAGTGGGTAATTGTTATGAGAATCAAATGGCAATTCTTATTCTTGTTTTTTTTCCTCCCCTTTCAGATGGATTATTTGTTGCAGGAATCAATCTTACTGCAGATTTAGGGTATATTTTGGCAAATATACATAGTTCGGTAAAACAAATGGCTCTGAGTGCTCTCCCATTACTAAATTTGTGGATAAAGAAACAGCGCCCTGGATCAAAAAAGGACTGCATTAACATCATTGCTGGAGACTTCATAGAAAAAAATAACTTTGTGGAGAATGTGATAAACCTGAATAGGAAACTGATTTTAAAATAACATTGCTATTCTACTTTGCACATGTTTTGAAAAGAGATCATGGGACTAACTGCAAGGATAAAATAAGATATAATACATACATAATTCACCTACCTCGCATTTTTTATCTGTAGTTAAGTATATACTTAAAAACTGTATTTATGGATCACTGTAGAAGATTTCATAAGGTTTTTTGGAGTCCTTGGTGGAAAAAATGGTTTTCCTGGAAAAAGTGCAATGTCTACAGAGTTTTGAAACATGGAGAACTTTTATCAACTGTTAGTATGTTTGAATACTATCCAAGATCATGATAAAAAAGAAGTTGTGCACTTTAGTAAGTGATGCTTTGCTCATGTACCCTTGCCAAATATCGGTTAGTACTAAGAACATAGACAAAGCCACAATGTAGCTGGTTTTGGCTTGGTCACTGTGATTTACTAACCATGGTTTGGCTTAGCATGACATATAAACACAGCCATTTCTTGTTTATTTAAGAAACTGTAACTTTGCACAGTAAGTAAACCCAACCATACAGCTAAGACATGTGGACTGCTGGCTGGGGAATTTTGGGAGTTGAAGTCTATGTCTTAAAGTTGCCAAACTTGAGAAACACTGAGTTGTTTGCACATCTAGCCTAAACTTGATGTTAAGTAATAAATACCAGCTTTTTAGGATTTTAAGCAAGATTTTCTTGCTTAAGAAAGATTTTTCTTAATCCAAATAAGATTTTCTTATTTGGAGGTGCCAAGAATTGAATATGGGACCTTCTATATGCAAAGTTTTACTACAAATGAGCTACAGTTCCTCAGCACTGATGATCTTTTAGAAACAAAGGAAGGCTTAGCTCACCCTATGTACAGATGGGAGTCATAGGTGAACTGAAAATCTAGCCAATTGATTGGAATGTAAATATAATTCCATCTTATTAAGGGGAACTTATACTGTGAAATCTATGCTGGACTGTAATAAAGATTTGATTTGATTGTGAAATCCTAAGTGTTTTGATGTGATCAGAGGTATAGCAATATGTGTGATGCAGAAAGAGAATGGCACTGATTTTTAATTCCATCTTTTATCTACCTCAGTTTTAGCTACCTTTTTCAAATATAAAAAGGGTTAGCAAGATTCCAGGGTACTTGTTCCTGTATTGGCAGCTGTGAAGTTGAAAACTTTATCCAGCTTTGTGTAAATGCAGCTATAAAATTAAAAAGAAAAACCCCTGGGCCAACCAGTTGTAGATTTGAAGGATTTCTTTGGCCTTTATACAGAGGTACAACACTTTTCAATTGAAGGTCACACTTAGTTTCTGAGTGGCATACTGTGGATAACACTCCCCAAAGTGGGTTGGGACCACGATAAAACCCACATTTTTTAAACTTAAATTGTATTAATATTACAGTAACTAAAGTTAATATAATTACTTCTCATATATTTAACAAATTTCCTTTTCTGTAGCATTAAAACTTACAATTCAGTAGCAACTTATGGAGGAATGCCAAAGGTTGTGCATGAAGTATTGGGGAGCACATGGAACTCTGGAAGCCATGCACCTATGTTATGTAACTGCAAATGGGTTTCAGTGGTTTAATAGTTGTCAACCTTTTGCGGCGGGGGGTATTAAAACATGCAAGATATTGGCCCAAATAAAATAAGTAACAAAGATTAGATGAAGGGCTAGGACAAATTTTGCTATATGCCGCCCAGAGTTGCCTTGTATGAGATGATGGCTATATAAATGTGACAAACAAACAAACAGCTATAGCAGAAGTTCTCAAAGAGCTAAGGTGGCATGATAAAGCTTGTAATAAATCATGCAAAATCACTACAATTAGCCTTCTTAGTGGGAAATCGAAGGTCTGCTCCTGCTTACAAAGTGGTCCAGAGTTATGAACTCAGTGTAGCAGACAAGGTGCAAATGTAGCTGAAATCATCAGTATTTTTCTTGTTGCCTAAATTTGGAAAATTTTTGTATTTGTAGGTGCTGGCTGATATATACAGTGGGGCAAAAAAGTATTTAGTCAGCCACCAATTGTGCAAGTTCTC